CGGGGAGGCCAATTACAATCGATCGCGCGATCTCGCGGCCCAATCATTTATCACCAGCGAACGGCGACCGTTATTCCTTACGCGAAAACACAAGAAATGCCTACAACTTAAAATAATATACAAGATTTTAGTAAGTTGTATTTCAGCAAAGTATTTTTACATGTCATTAATTCTATTTTATTTTTCAAAAAGTATTATCCTGTATTATATAATAAGTGAGTAGATGTAGTAAGTATTAAAAACTGTATTATTGTTTCAGAAAGTAAATCACGCTGTACGAAGAGCGGTGGCGAAGCAGCGGCGGAGATTGAAATTCGCTGGATTTATCCCAGCACCGACGACTCCAGGCGCTGCCGAGATGTACCTGATGTCGTTGGCGCTGCCGGAATGTATCCTGGAGTCGTCGGCGCTCCCGGAATGTATCCTGGTGTCGTCGGCGCTGGGACGTATCCTGGCGCTGGGATAAATCCAGCGAAATTCAATGTCCGCCGCTTCTTCGCCACCGCTCTTCGTACCGCGTGATTTATAATACTTTCTGAAACAATATTAACATTATTTGTTACATTATAAAATAATATACAATATATATAATAATAATTACAATATATATATAATAATATATATTCATCTTTCTTGTCATTTTCCTTTTGGTTTTCTTTCTCTGGTTCCTTTCCTTTCTTTACTTGGTCCTTGTCTTTATCTTCTTTCTCATAATTTGCTAGAGCATACACCAAATCGACAAAAATAGAATTATCCATAAAACCAGATTCTCTGTCGCCATGGACCTGTAAAACAAAGTTAATAATAATAAAATTCAGTACATACAAGGTATTTCCAGCAAGAAATACAGTTAACATAACATAATAAATCATTACATCCTTATTGCCTGTTAATGTTAAATAAAAATGATATAATTCAGTGTCAGGTCGATGGTACATAGAAAAATTTAAACAGCAAAATATAACCAGTAAGAAAATCAACATGTTGGATTTGCTACTGCTTTTACGTTATAGTCTTATGATTTCTAGTCATTAGTCAATTCGCTTACTGTTGTTTAGATGACAAGTAAAACAATAACATAAAAAGAAGTTGAAGGGCCAAGAAGACAAGAAGATAGAAGCAGCAATATAATGAAAAAGGCAACAAAGAAAGAAGAATAACTGAGAATTGAAGACTACAATATGGAGACAATAAATAGGAATTTAGCTGCAATATATAAATATAAATAAATATAAATAAATATAGCTTATTATTTGTTTGACTGGGAGGTATATTTAACTTTTATAATATAAATAAACATTAGAAGTTGATAGAAATAGAGAGAAAGAATTTAGATTCTACGGAAAAGAAAATTTAGAATAAAAAGAAATAAAGTTGAGGCAGAAGTACAAATAAACTAAAAAGATCAAATAGGAATAACGAGTAGTATTGTAGTTGAGATTAATAAATTAGGATTTAGATAACATAATGGATGGATGGATGTGAGAAGGATAAAAGGAAAAGTATGAACCACTTCCCCATCTTGCCTTTGTAATGCAAAAGAAAATAAAGATTCTGTTCTATTACTTTTTAGCATTGCAACGGTAAATATTTACCTGTCATAGTCTTACGATTCTGGTTCCACACGATCTTGACTTCGTCCGCTCGTTTATAGCGTTTCATTTGCCGCAATCGCATGTACTCTGACTTTATAAAATACAGATTTCACATAACGGCACAGTAACATGTATTGTAGACCTCATGATTTAATTCCGTTTTTATATTTATATTAAGCATACATTTTTATATACTATTAATTTGTGTACGTGTGCACAATTAAATGTGCCTTACCGCGCGCGGTCCAAATGCCACTCGAGCGACATTTGATCTGCACGCGGGACGGTGAGGGGGACAGCGGAAGGCGGAGGCGATTCGAAAACGGCTGAAAATTACATACACTTTATGTATGTTCACTTTCAACTGACACCTTAATAATATATTAGTTACTTTTCGTGGAAACGCGTCGCGTCGTCGAAGAGAGAAAGAGTATATATATATATATATGTATATATATATATAAGTGTAAATATATATGGGGCATTCCACGCCAAGTGGACCACCCATTTTGCGAAGTTTCATGGATTTCGTTCATATTGCTTGAACTTGAACAGTTTCATGAATAAAGACTCTGTGCCAAATAATATACCTGTAGGCCAACTGGTTGCCGAACTGTAGAGCCTAACGCTCTTTCACGTAAGAATATTCTTTTTTCGATCAGACCGGTTTACGACGATGTTTTTCAGTTTTGAAGTTTTCAAAATGGCGGTGCGCCTAAAAGGTCGGTCTCAATTTTCTTTTAATATAGCTCAAAATGTAGCCCCAGGTCTCTACTTTGTTACTCTAAAAGGACTTAATGGCACACGCATTCGTTTGAGAGTAAGAGCTAGGAAAGTGAGGAAAATGAGTGGTGCGGCAGGGGGACGGAGCGACATTGCCTCACTTTCCTAGCTTTTACTCTCAAACGAATGCGTATCCCATTAAGTCCTTTTAGAGTAACAAAGTAGAGACCTGGGGCTACATTTTGAGCTATATTAAAAGAAAATTGAGATCGACCTTTTAGGCGCACCGCCATTTTGAAAATTTCAAAACTGAAAAACATCGTCGTAAACCGGTCTGATCGAAAAAAGAATATTCTTACGTGAAAGAGCGTTCAATTTTCTATAAGAAACCGTCTATATTTCATTTTCAAAATTGCCTTTTATGCCCACTAACGACAAGCGAAAAGAGCGCTGCGACGAGAAAGC